AGGTGGGCCCCAAGATGCTGGTGCAGTGTGCCTGGTTGTGGGAGAGAGGTCCAGTCCCCTTCTTCATGCCTTGGGTCCCTGGGTGGGCTCCAAGGTGCTGGCATGGTGTGCCTGGTTGTGGGAGTGGGGTCCAGTCCCCTTCTCCATGCTTCAGGTCCCCAGGCTGGCCCTGACGCACTGGTGCAGTTTGCCTGGAAGTGGGAGTGGGGTCCGGTCCCCAGATCCAAGCCTCCAGTTCCCAGGCAAGCCCCAAGGTGCTGGTGGTGTGCCTGGGCCGGAACTAATTTTTTGTCCTTTGCTTCTAACACAGGGGAACTTCCTGTGGGAACCAGTACTTGAGCTGTGTGGTTGTTTAAATTGCTACTTTGCTGCTGTTTCCCTAGGGAAGGCTTTTTGTACAGCTCAGGGTTTAATGGTTGACCTTACAGGTACTTCCGGCTCTCCAGAGACCTGGTGGATCTGTTTTTTGTAGAAACTCTGATCTGGGCCTGAGCTTTTTCTTCAATCTGCACCCCATGCAATTCTGCATTCCCGACCAGTCTCCTCTAAGTGGTCCTGTGCTGATTGAGGGGCAGATCAGCTGTCCTTGCTGTGTCCCAGTGTTCCCCTGGTGGGCACGTCTCCCCCACTGCCCATGCTGCAAACACTTCCCATGGGACGGGCCATGTGCCAGTCCCTTGCGATGACTCACTGGCTTCTGAATGGCTCCCTTTTTTCAGTTGTCTTGGCTCCTCCCTCCTGTGTGGGTCCACGTGAACCCTATTAGTGGTCATGCTGTCCTGGGGGCCAGCAAGGCCCTCTTCTCTCCTGCCGTCTCCAAGCAACTCCATCTGAATGGCACAGCTGCGGTTTCTGCCGGCTCCTGCTTCATGCACTCAGCAGCTCGAGCCTTAAAGCAGCTGCAGCCTGAAATGCTTAGAGCAGATTTTTCTTTCTCTCATTGTAGTTTCTCTCACCTTCATGAACTCCATAGATCTCTCTTCCTCTTCCCCTGAGCTCCAGCGGCCCCGGCTTGACTGATGTTACATTTTTATAGCTGTAAATTGTTTGATTTCTGGGAGAGAGTGATGCTGTGGACCGTCTATTCTGCCATCTTGATTGGATCTATCTATTGAATCAATTTCTGAGCTCACTGTTGCTCCCTGTATTGTTTATATTCCCCGGTTATCACTTTTCTTCTTGCTGAAATTATTTTATTGGAGGTCTTTGGGGATAAGTTCTTTTTGGTTTTGTTTTTAATTTGTCCTCATTTGTTAATAGTGCTTCAGCTATACATAGAATTCTACGGATGCAGTTATATTTCATCAGCACTTTTGAAGATATTTGTTTTTTGTCCTATTACTGCCATTAATAATCCACTATCACCTAATTGTCTTTACTTAGTGGGTAATCTTTTATCTCTGGGAGTATTTGAAAGCTTTTCATTAATACTGACACTACAACTTCAGGAGTGTGTGGATTTCTTTCTATTTCCTACTCAATACTTGGAAAATTGTCTACACTTTCTCGAAGCATCACTGGCAGCAGACAACAATAACAGTAACACCAAAATACATGTGCACACACAGCTGCACTGGATTTCCAGAGATCAGTGAAGGGAAGATCTCACATTTACACACTTTGTAGGGAGCATTCATATTGAATTAGAAATAGTCCAGGCTAAGTGGACCATAAAGAAGGGAAGCAGCATCCCACAAAAGCCAGGAAACCAACCTTACACTCTGGGGCAGAGGGCTGGTCCCTCAAGGAGCCTTTGCTTCCTAGTCTATTCAGTTAGCAGTTTAGAACTGGGCCATCAATGGCTCCCTTAGGGTGGAACAGAAATCTAGGGCCTCAGAGCTCACTTAGTGAGAGGAGAGTACAGGGATACCAGGCCAGGAAACACACTCAAGAGGATTCATTATCATCCTGATCCTGGGCCAGCATTTCCAGGGGAGGCCATTTCAGCTGAGACAATTCATCCCTCTGAAGATAGAGGTGGAAGAAAGTAGAAGGAAGACGTCATGGGTCAGCAGACAGGGAAGTCTTCCCCAGGACAAGGCCCTAGCTCACTGCTGGCACCAGGGATAGTAAGGCAGGGCATGCGAGGGTCTCCTTTGGGCAGCTATTCTAATATCTACTTCCTCCAGAATCCTGCAGCTTTCATCTTTGCTCCCAAACCCCAGCAGGAACAGAGGAAAGTCTGAATATCTGAACCCAAGAAATAAGTCTGACAATGGCTCCAGGACTAGAGGGGATCCCTTCTTGGGTACCTGTATGACAAGCAGTTTCCACTAATTCTTCACAGGTATGAGAAGAGGAAAGCCAACTTTTTTCTCCATGAGAAACTACACGAAGACTGTATTAGCAGTCTGTCTGTATCCACTGCCATCTCCAGAGAAGACACGCAGATGAGGGGAAGGACTAGAAGGGCCCTGACACCTGATACAGGCAGAATCTTCTGACACATAACCCAATGTAGCAAAAATTAAACCAACTGAATACTGGGCCGAGCCCGTGGCACACTCGGGAGAGTGAGGCGCTGGGAGCGCAGCAGCGCTCCCACCACGCGTTCGGATCCTATATAGGGATGACTGGTGCGCTCACAGCGCTCACTGGCTGAGCGCGGTGTGGCTGGTCTCAAAAAGGACAAAAAAAACCCCCAAAAAACAAAAACAAAAAAACCCAACTGAATACTGCTAAACAAAGCCACAGCCTTCTTTCCCATTTGTACTGGAACATCCTTAAGCTTCAAACAACCCCAGGAAAGTCTGCGTGTTCAGGTAGCTTGACTTCTCATTACCTGAGGTAAGGACTTTGTCTCTCTTTCAGGGAAATTTGTTGCTTATAAGCCTGTTGAGTCAAATGTAGAGTCCGAAGCATACCTTAAGAACTTTAACTGCTCTGTCTGCCAGATTTCCTAGTGCTTTGGGCTCATAGTCTGTTCCAATTCCTGTATTCTTGATTTTATGTACGTGAAGAGAAAATCAATCAGGACTGAGTCTGTGCTATAGCCGAGGCCTGGGTATCTGCTTCCTAGTGGAAATCTCGGTTCCAGTCTTTAGACCCTGTGGGTGTTGCTAGACTCTGGTAATGCATTTTTATATCTAGCAGATGATGAATGCCTCCAAAGGGCCATCTAAGAACTGATGATATACCTGTTGCATGCTGTCCTACCTTTTAACCATCAAGGTACTAATGGCCCCAAAAGTGGCCAGTGGAAACTAATGAAATGTTACAATATACATGCTGTGATAAGGGGAAATGATTTCCAGAAAGAAGCTCTGCTTCCAAATCTTTAACTGAAAGTTGAGTTGACTTTATCTGTCATGTTCCACAATGTACAACAGTGACGCTTGTCAGTCTTAGGTCCCTGTCTCTGTTGACTTCTCCATGGGGTTGGGTACTACATGCCAACAGCAACTTCACAGAAAGGGAGCTTTTCCTTCCTATCTCTGTGGCTCTTCACCCAGTGTAGATGTGCTGGCCCTGCAGAAGGGAGAGTAGACATCTGGGTCAAAAATAGGAGACAGGATAGGATTATTGCACCTAATTACAACATACAGTAGATACTCTTTTGTTGTCTTTCACCTATTTCTCCCAAACACAAACACCCTGATTATCCTGGGAAGGGCCTCATCTGTTGCTGTATTTCTCTTTCCAGGGTCACATTGTACAATAACTTATTTTTAAAAACCTATAGATATTTGCATCGATCCTAAAGATTTAGCTCTGAAAGCAATACCTTCTCAAACACAACATCCTCTAGTATTGAATAGTCCAGGATCCCTTCTCTTTTAGGCTCACGGAGAATGCAGGGCTGGCCAAGAGAAGTAGCTAAGGTGGACACACTTTAGCTCTTCTAAGGAGGCTTGTCTTTATAGCCTTGAGTGATGCCAACAAATGTGGATATAAATTCTATGGAAAAAGAAGTGGATGTGCTTTATTGACATCAAATCTCTACCTGTTTTTCAGAAAACTAAATGGATATATAAGTCATTAGTCAAACATTATACTAAAGCATAGGTATAAGAATAATCAAGAGCATGCATAGCAGAATATTTCTTTAATCTTAAGAGAGAGATGATTTATTTTTTCTGGAAAGATACGTGTTCAGGTTTAACATTATCTCTTAATGTTCAGCTATTACTGTAATGCCTGTACTCTTTTTAGAAAGATATTTTATGAGGATATAATTTAAAGAAATGAATAGACAAAGAAAGTTACCAGTGGGAAAGTTACCACTTTATTGGATTCATGTCAGGTATCCTAAGTGGCCTCTGATGACACAAAATTAGGGTTCATCTTAGTAAAAATTCACTGGGAATCCATCTAGTTCGAGGCAACTAAGAGAACCACTCAGAATGGAGTTCCGGAACTACACCTAGGGAATTGAGTTCATCTTGGTGGGGATTCTGAATGACAGCCAGTCCCCTGAACTGCTCTGTGCCACAGTCGCAGTCCTATACATGTTGGCCCTGACTAGCAATGGCCTGCTGCTCCTGGTCATCACAGTGGATGTCCAGCTCCACGTGCCCATGTACCACCTGCTCGGGCAGCTCTCCTACTCCTACTGGCCTTCATGGCCTATGACAGGTACGTGGCCATTTGTCATCCTTTGAACTACACAGTTCTCATGAGGCCGAGGGTCTGCTGGATCATGGTGGCCACATCCTGGATCCTGGCATCCCTGAGTGCCCTCGTATATACTGTGTATACTATGCACTATCCCTTCTGCAAAGCCCAGAAGATCAGGCACCTGCTCTGTGAGATCCCACCTTTGCTGAAGTTGGCCTGTGATGATACATCCAGGTATGAGCTCATGGTATATGCGACAGGTGTGACTTTCCTCTTACTCCCCCTTTCTGCCATTGTTGCCTCCTACACACTAATCTTATACACTGTGCTCCACATGCCCTCAAATGAAGGGAGGAAGAAAGCCCTGGTCACCTGCTCTTCCCACCTGACTGTGGTCGGAATGTTCTATGGAGCTGCCACCTTCATGTATGTCCTGCCCAGTTCCCTGCACAGCCCCAGAGAAGACAACATCATCTCTGTTTTGTACACAATTGTCACTCCAGCCCTGAACCCCCTCATCTACAGCCTGAGGAATAAGGAGGTCATGTAGTCCTTGGGGAGGGTCCTGGAAAAGTGTACGTAGCCAGTACATTCTACCCTCTACTGAGGGCTCATGACCAGCTTCCAAAATTCATCCTCGTCAAAGTCTGAATATTTCTTCTATGAATCACATACTCATATCTTTTAATAGAAACATGAGGGAATGTAACTGGGCTTGTCAAACGCTATTTTAACCTTCTCTCCCTGAAATAATTCATAGGGTATAATTCATACTATTTAAAATTACTGTTCACACCATTTAAAGTTTACTTTCTACTTTTCTAGGTAGTTACTTAGTTAAATGGTTCTGAAGGCGATCACCAACATGTCACATGGCCCCTGAACTTTGGATCCTGTATTGGACCAACTTCAGAACCAGAGAAAGTTTCAAGTGGGTGGCCTGTGTAAGGCCCAAACATCACTGGAGGAGATGTTTTGAGATTTCCACAAATTTTAGACCAACTGACTTTATTAGCACAGGCTTGTCTAATGCTGCAGCTGGTAGCAATTTGCATATATTTGGTTTGTGTTCACTCTTTCTTCTTTCCAGCCATGTGGACACTCCAACAGGTATCTTTGTTTTTGTTTGTTCTTTTTTTTCTTTATTTTTTTTATTATCCTGGATGCTGGTACCTTTACAACCAATCCTGCTACATTAAATAAGCCCGCTCCAGAATAATTTTAGATCTTTTTACCTTCTTTTTTTTTTTAGTTTCCTTCTCTTTATTTTATTTTATTTTGTCAATATGCAATGTGGTTGATTATTGTGGCCCATTACCAAAATCTCCCTCCCTCCTCCCTCCCAACAATGTCCTTTCTGTATGCTTGTCATATCAATTTCAAGCAATTGTAATTGTTATGTCTTCTTCCCTCCTCCCTGGTTTTATTGTGTATTTATTTATTTTTAGCTCCCACAAATCCACAAATCCAGAATATGCAAGGAACTCAAACAACTTTACAAGAAAAAAACAAGCAACCCAATTAAAAAAATGGGCAAAAGAGCTAAATAGGCATTTCTCAAAGGAAGATGTACAAATGGCCAACAGACATATGAAAAGATGCTCAACATCACTCAGTATCCGGGAAATGCAAATCAAAACCACACTGAGATACCATCTCACCCCAGTTAGGATGGCTAAAATCCAAAAGACTCTGAACGATAAATGCTGGCAAGGTTGCGGAGAAAAAGGAACTCTCATACATTGTTGGTGGGACTGCAAAATGGTGCAGCCTCTATGGAAAATGGTATGGAGGTTCCTCAAACAATTGCAGATAGATTTACCATATGACCCAGCTATCCCACTGCTGGGAATATACCCAGAGGAATGGAAATCATCAAGTCAAAGGTATACCGGTTCCCCAATGTTCATCGCAGCACTCTTTTCAATAGCCAAGAGTTGGAACCAGCCCAAATGTCCATCATCAGATGAGTGGATATGGAAAATGTGGTATATCTACACAATGGAATACTACTCAGCTATAAAAAAGAATGAAATACTGCCATTTGCAACGACATGGATGGACCTTGAGAGAATTATATTAAGTGAAACAAGTCAGACACAGAAAGAGAAATATCACATGTTCTCACTTGTTCTTTTTTGACATGGAGATAGTGACTAAGATTCAAATGTTAATGAAACAGATATAGTAGAAAGTGAAGGCATTGCATAAGTCAGGGCCATGATAAACAACTGTGCTTATTTCTTGCTAATAAGAAAACGATCAGGCAAAGCAAAACAGTGGTTTTTTAATTATCCAAGGCTGTCTGGAAACATCCCAAGAATTGCAAAGGGTTCACATGCCTGGCATGTGTGGATGTGGGAGTCAGTGTGTCCATATGTTTGTCCTGCAGGATAACATGATACATTTTCTTTGAGCTTAATTATGCTACACTACTATCAATTTGTTTATAAGTCTGAAAGATGTAAACAAAAGCTATGAGTTGAGTTTTGAAGCTTAAAAATAATATCATGTAGTACTTGTATGGTTGATCGAGTGACACTATTTTGGGGCATATCACTGTTTGTGGAAATTGGCTAAAAATAATATAACACTGTTTCATTGCTGAGTCCAAAAGAAGTTCTTTTTAAAAATTAATAAAACTCAGAATACTAGTAAAAGGCAAAAGCCACCTAAAATCTCCTTATCCAGAGATAATTCCTACACAGATTTAGATGGATTTCCTTTCCTTGTTTTTTTTTTTTTTTTTTCTGGTGGCTGACCAGTAAGGGGATCTGAACTCTTGACATTGGTGTTATAACACTGTGCTCTAACCAACTGAGCTAACCAGCCAGCCTCCTTCCACTTTAATACACGCATGCATTTTACTGTGTTGATATGTGAGTGTAAAACAGATTTTTTTCACTTATTAGCATACAGTGTTTTTTTCCCTATATTATATGGCAGAAGTATAAAGCACTGGTGAAGAGGCTGAGGTCAGTTGTCAGAGTACAGAGGTTAGAACTCAATGCATCCCACTTACATGTATGCCTTTGAACTAACATGATACTTAACCTGTTTGTACCCAAGTCTGCAGGTCTATAAAATGTAAATTAATAATAAGACCTACTTTATGGTATTGTTGTTAGGATTAAGTGAGTTATCAAACAGAAATATAAGGCATGTAGAGCAGCATCTCGCATATGACAAGTATTTAATATATCTTAACTCTTACAGAATAAATGGCCCTGAAACACTGTTAAGTCATAGCATAATATTATATCACATGGATGTTTTCTGATATCATCAGCTATTTCGTCATGGTTATGCATTTAACATTGTTGTGTGTGTGTGTATTAAATCAGCAAGATCAATCTCTTGGGCCTGTGACTGTTCGTTTTCCTTAGAAAAATTGTTATGAATGGAATTACTGAAATCAAAGTTAAAATCTATTTAATATTCTTAATGTGAAAGGACAGTTTTTTTTCTTGTTAAATATTTTGTATTCTTACCAGCAATGTATAAGTGTACTTAACCCACCACATCTTTTTCCCTGTTAAGTTTTACATATAAATAGTTCTTACTAATGATTAGGTATAATATTTAAATCTATTATTATAATTTGTTTTTATTTTTTCCTATTGATTTGTTGAACTTTTTTGCATAATGGGGACACAGATACTTTGATTGTTATATTTGTGATAATAACTTCTTTTCCAATTTGGGATTTGACTTTTAATGTCTCCATGGTAGGCATTTTTAGACACAAATATTACAAATATTTTATAGTGATAGATACCATTGTTATGTTTTCTTCTAGTGGTTTTACTGTTAGGATGTAATTCTCTATTCTCTCTTTAGGTAACAATCTATATATGTTTTTTATGATTTTTTTCACTTGTTTTATAGTTTATGTTTGACTATTAAAATAAATTTCTAACTTACCTTGTGTGAAAAATGGTGAGGTTTTAACCTTTTTTCAAAGTTACAACTTTTCTAGCAATATTTTAAAATAATCCTTCCCTCTTCCATTAATTTGTTCTACTTCCTTCATCACAAATAATGTTCCAATAAGCTACGTTTTAACTATTTTTTCAGTTCTAGTTTATTTCTCCTCCTTACTCTTTTTGACGACATTTGATTCTATCATCCACATCTTAAAAGTCCACTGGTTGTTTGATTGTGAATATACTCAACTTATAAATTAAATTATAATTTGGGCATTTTTGCAGTACTCGGTCTTGCCTTCCTGAACACAGTATACTGCTCTACTTCCCGAACCTAGTCACAGTCCCTTTTTTAAAATGACTATTTCACACCTTGAGTCTCAGCTGATGAGTTGCCCTGTATTTCATTAGAACAGAAGCAGTCAGCTGCAAGCCCCTTTATATTCTTCTCTTCAAGTCTCCCACGCACCTGCATCTGCGTGCATACTCTCCTGATTTCTCTCACTACAATTGTCTGTCAAAGGCTGACCTCCACTAGCACTCGGGATCCCAATCTCATTGGCCTCCCCAACATTTTGCTTTTGCAGGATCCTTTTCATCTGAAAGCACTTTCTTCCACTTTCCTGGATCATAACCATAAGAATACAAAATATATTCTGATAATCCCCATCATAGAGAACCCTTTCTGTGATTCCAATCCCTTCAGTTACTGGCACATTTTTTTCAGTGTCTTATTTTTATTCTCATCTTCAGTTTTTTCAGAATTACATGTTGGGCCAATTCTTTAGTATTGAATTCAAGAAATTTCTCAATCTGGACTTACTTTTCAGCCTTATATCTCACTATTTTCCTAACTTTACACATACTCTTAGAAAAATTCTAGCATTTGTTATTCCTAAAATGTGCTTTCTTTTCCATTTCAGAAATTGTTAAATTGAGAGTTGAAGGCCATGTTAGAAACATACCACCACGAAGAACTTATTTTTTACGTCTATATTCATAGCTCCATAAATGTACCTGGGATACATGATGTGTTCAAAAGATGTTTGATAAATGCATACAAGAATGGAAGAAATGACTCTACTTGCCAAAAGTTCTCATATTTATGACAGTTTTGTTGCTATTTATTGGTTCTTTGTTTTCTGACATATAGTTATATCCCTACTTATACTGATATACTTATTAGCTTGTATGGGCTAGGAAAGAAGTGACTTCTTGCTCCCCTATCTTCCTCCCTTCCTTCCTCCCCCTCTCCCTCCCTCCCTCCATCATTCTTCTCTTCTTCCCTTCTTCTTTACCCTCTCCCTCTATCCCTCTCTTCATCTCCTCTCCTCTCTCCTCCCCTCCACTCTCCTCTCCTTCTCTCCCTTCCCCTCCTCTCCTCTCACCTCCTCTCCCCTCTTCTCCTGTTCTTTAATTTAATTTCTTTTCCGTGTCCACCAAGTTACCTTGCTTTGATTAGGCAATTTGTTGAACTGATCTGAGAAGAAATATTGGAAAATAGAAGGAATGAAAAAGCAGAAGAAAGAGATAAAAATGGAAAACATTCCAAGAAAATTACTTCTCTCCACGTCCCTAAAATGGTTATCATAATCAGAGATCACCACCTCCAAAAAGATTATTT